CAGCAAGTATACCTGTGAAGGCTACGAAAAGTCTGGGGTTGAATGAAGTTGCTCTTACCTGCTCCACCTTCACCTCGGATGCTCACAGCCCCCACCCATTCCCTGCGTGGTAGTTTCTACAGAAATTAAACAAAGAGCTTTTTCAGGGGCCAGGCAGGCAGAAAACAAACTTCTTTAGCTTGGGCAGTGTTAAGCGATCTTAATAAGCTCTAAATCTTTACTTGGAAGTCAATGAAATTAGCAGCAGAGTTTAGAAGCCAGAAACACCGTGCTGGATTATTTTAAAAAGCAAAAACAAAAAACTCCAACCATTCTTTGCAGCTAAACTCCAGCTCCGGTTCTCTGGGCTAGAATAGTAGTGTTAATAGATTCTGCCTCGACTAAAAAGGGAGCCAGTGGCAGAAAATCTATTCCTCCAGCAAGGTTGCCGGGCAACGAGCAAGCTTTTGGCATGTGGCTGATGTCTCCCGGCAGCCCGGACTACACAAAGTAAGCTCTTCCATCACTTATAACTAACTTGATTTTGATGGATTAAAACCAAATCAAAAGGTACTGTAAGCCACTCGTTTCCAAATTCAGGAATCTGGGTGAGACAGAAAACATCCCAATACCAAACATAAGACTAACTGATCAGGAAAAGTAGAATCCACTAAAGGTCATTCTGCTGGGTGATAAATCTCTTACACATCCTAGTATACACACAATGTTATTTTAAGATGAGAATATCCAAAAGCAATGGGAAAACACAGCATTCAAGAATATTTGGGGGTGGGGGGATGAGTGAAATAGGTGAGAGAGATTAAGAGGTACAAATTTCCAGTTACAAAATAAATGAGTCACAGGGATGAAATGTACAGCATGGGGAGTATAGTCAATAATATTGTAATATCTTTGTATGGTGACAGATGGTAACTAGACTTATAAGGGTGATCATTTTGTGATGTACAGAAATATCGAATCACTATGCTGTGCACCTGGAACTAACAGTATTGTAGGTCGGTTGTACTTGCATTAAAAATATATATTTTGGAAAAATATTAATGTTATAAAGATGGAGCCTCAATGTTACGAGGAGTTGTGGATTCAAATGCATCTTTGTGTCTCACGTTGGTGAAGGTGTTTGCACATCTGAGCACATTACTCAATAATCGGCGAACCCTCGCTAAGGGCTCTGAGATCCCACCCCTGTGCTGTAGGCGTGATGGAAGAAAATGTAAGACTTTGGGCCAAGGCCTCATTCAGAACACATTTACTATTAGGACATAAGGTAAGATGGTTTCTCTCACCAGCTAAGTTCTTCCGCAAAAGGCTAGTTTTGGCACTGATTGTGTTCGCTTACGAAAACCACCTCCAAGACATACTGACCGAGCTGACTAGACTTCCCAAACGATGAAGACGGCACTGAAGGCCAGGCCTATCCTTTCCCAGGGTTCTGGGGTGAACCAGGCCTACCTGCCAGGGCTCTGAATAGCATAAAATATACTCACACTTGATCCCAAACTTTTCTTTCTCTTTTAGAAAAACATCCTTCACAACATTCATAGTGTATCTCCTTTCATTAAAAAAAAACTCCTTTTGGGGACTTTCCTGGCGGTCCAGTGGTTAAGACTCCGCGCTTCCACTGCTGCGGGCACGGATTCGATCCCTGGTCGGGAAACTAAGATCCCACACTCTGTGCGGCGTGGCAAAATAAAAAATAAATCCTTTCGGGGCTTCCCTGGTGGCGCAGTAGTTGAGAGTCTGCCTGCCGATGCAGGCGACACGGGTTCGTGCCCCGGTCCGGGAAGATCCCACATGCCGCGGAGCAGCTGGGCCCGTGAGCCATGGCCGCTGAGCCTGCGCGTCCGGAGCCTGTGCTCCGCAACGGGAGAGGCCACAGCAGTGAGAGGCCCGCGTACCGCAAAAAAAAAAAAAAAAATCCTTTCGTTCAGAAAGCTGCACATACTCGCATGGACAGAGGCATCCTCTTCTCGTGCAATCCTGAACCTGTGGTCATTAGCAGCCACAGGCCCACCATAGGGGATGCTGAAGGCAAAGGCAACCAGATGAAGCAGCCCAGCAGAGGTGCCCACACGTTTCCTTGGAGTTCCAGGCAAAACCAGCTTGTGCCCATCGGCCCCTTCTAATGTGGAGAATGCACATGACACCAAGCGAAGCATTCGTGTTCCAGACGTGGCATGTCCCATTTGTGGCCTCGTCAGCCCCTCGTCCATTATGGATCCATTATGCCTTTCGTCAACTTCCACGTTTCTTGCAACACATTCAAATGCACTGCAGGGACTAAAAGCAGCCTCCTCTGTAACCATTATGATGATAAAATGCAACTTGATGGAAATCGATATATTATCATCGCTCCCTATCAAGACATATGCCCTCAGGAAACAAAGAGTTGTTAGTTTTAATATGAAAAAGGCTTAATGGGTCTTCGCATGAGCTTGTCAGGTGGCTGAGCAGGTGCACGGCACTGCCACTCTCCACAAGTCTAATGCTTGCCCACTCTTTAAGATCGAGTCTAAATGCCACTCCAGCAATTCTTAACTGAGCCCTCCACCCCTACACTCAGCCCTTCCTGTTACCTGCAGCTCTGCTCCTGCACGGAACCTTTTCTACTGTATATACGTCCTGTGCATACAACCATTCTCCTACCAGGTGTATGTTCCCCAAGAGCAAAAGCTCAGGGCCTTATTCAGAGCAGATGTTCAGTGTTAGGTGATTTTGGTTTTCATTGGAAGAAAACAAAACGGTGGGTAAATACAACCCCCGAAAAATTAAAATTTTTTTTTTTTTTAGTTTGTAGGTAATCTGAGATATCTGGCCAAACCCTTAGTGCTGTGTCATGGAAAGAAGAGCCTGTGGTCTGACTGTTAAGTCAGCCAAGCAGCTCTAGCCTTCCTATTGGAGTACCTTGTGCACCATGTAAGTAATCTAGTACACTGTAGTTTTGCAGAGGAATTATTCAGTAAGCAGAGGCCATGAGAAAATTAAGAGTTGATGAAATGTTTTCCTAATGTTTTCCTTTCTTGAAACAATCTCCTACGTAATAAAAGCCTTACAAATGTATTATATAGCCTTCGTCTTTTTCATATATATATATATACACACACGCACACAATATCAATTGCCAATTGTTGATTGTCAAGTTTTCACTTTACCTGATGAGTTTGCAAGATGGCTTCTTCCAAGTTTATTGATAATAGCACCTTGTATGTTTCCTATCCAGGATTCATTACTATTTGTAATTTATTATTTGTTGTGTCCTAGTTTGTCTGTCTCCCCAATAGACTGGTAGCTCCCCAAGGGTAGAAACCATTTTATCTTGAGTTCTATTAGTATCCCCACTGCCCAGCACCAAGCCTGACATGGATGAGGCACCCACTTACTGAACGATCACTGCCTGAAGTAATTAACTGACCGATAAATTCGTGCCTAACTGAAGTTCTGGCTTGGTTGAGGGTCTTCAAAATAAGATCGCGATTGGGCAACCAGTCTACTGGTCCTGCAATAGATTTTGCTTCAGAGAAACTCTTGCAAACCAGAATACCGAAGCTAGTGCCCTCCTTTAGGGAAACTTAGGGAGCCTGAAATCCTAGGAGAGCCAGTAGGAGCTGGAAGGAGAAGCTGGCAAAGGGAAAATATCTGTTATTTTATTCGAAGAGAACATTCAAAATCAGAAACACCTATATTCAGATGTTCAAGACAGAGACACTTGAGTTGAAGTCAAAATACACATTTGTTTTTTTTGTTTTGCGGTACGCGGGCCTCTCACTGTTGCAGCCTCTCCCGTTGCGGAGCACAGGCTCCTGACGCGCAGGCTCAACGGCCATGGCTCACGGGGCCCAGCCGCTCCGCGGCATGTGGGATCTTCCCGGACCGGGGCACAAACCTGCGTCCCCTGCATCGGCAGGCGGACTCTCAACCACTGTGCCACCAGGGAAGCACCACATTTGTTTTTAAATACAAGTTTGGGACTAGAAACACCCCTATTCACTTAGAGTAAAAATTCTCTCTCACTCGTCCACCCTCTCGTCCTCCCCTGCCTGCCCCCCTTAACCCCTGCCCCACAGAGTCCGCAGATTTTCTCATAATGTATATGAGATAATTTTATTTTTCCCCACATGTTTATTTATGTTCGTCAAAATATATGCTCTGATTTTTTTATTCAGAAAAGAAATCATAAATATATGTGTGAATGCGAGTAGGCTATACATAGGTTTCTAAAGATGTGTGCATATCATCACAGTATTATCTGTTTCTTTACTCTCGCTAACATAGCAGAGTAGCAGAGACATGGAAAAATCAAAGCAGTAGATAACTTTTTAAATTATTCATATTTGACTCTAGGACAGTAACAGTTTAAACATTAACCTTCCCTTCTGTTCTTAATTCTATTTAGCTTAGGCTATTAAGACTAATTTATGTTTTAAAGGCATACATTAACAGACCATATGAGATAATATATGTAAACATACTCTGTAATTAATATGTATTACTCTGTAATAATGCAGATGTGTTAGTATCATAATAATTATGATTTTTTTTCAATTTGTATGTACGTATATATGTCTGTTTATATAGTATATATGTAGCCTAACAGCCTAACACTATAGTTTTCAAATACTTGTTCACAGACCAATACTGGTCAGTGACAACGTTTTCACTGGCCAGAGGCAAAAGGAGAAAAATCCTAACAATGTATTACAGGTTTTTAAAAATATAATGTTAAACGTATTACATTTAAAAGATTGCTTTTATTCTGAAATTAAATTCGTACTGATTTTTTTTCCTGGTTTGTTCCAAAGTCCATTGTTTTATCGAATTATAGTGCTAACAAGTGGCAATTTTTAAAGCCCTTACTTGCCAAAAAAAAAAAAAGAAGAAAATTTTCTTTTGAAATTTATTAATCCATGGAACCTAAAAGTCTGAAAAAAACTGATTCAGGCAACAAAAACACCAACATTTCCATAGTCTGTTCAAGAAAAGAAAGTGAGGCTCCCCTTTACCTGCAGCTTTAGTGCTTCTAGTCATCCAATTCCAGTAACATCTGGAACATCCCGAAAGATCCAGCCTCTGAGCTGAGCCCTCCCAGGCTCCCAGCAGTCCAGCACCTATTTGGCCTCTGCGTTATCACTTCATTTTCCCCAGCAGCCTCAACAAGAAGCACCACTTCGGAAGAAACCCCAAATTTTAAACCAGTCCAAGGTGGGGGCAGGCTGAGGGAGGCACCGAATCCAATTGTTTTACAGGCAAAGAGACTTCAAAGTCTCCATCCGATGGCTCAAACATCCATAACAGAATTGGTATTTCTTCTCAGATTCAAGGCACGGCCAAGTCACACAGGCTCACTTCCAGGGTCCAGTTTTCACTTGGAGGCTGCAGACCAGGCAGGCTCACTGCCCTTTGATCTGGTTGGAACCGGAGTGTTACAAATATGCTTGTATTAAGCTATCTCCAGTCTGCCTGAGGGGCTCGGTCTGGAATGCGAGAACGGGAGCTTCAAACAGTGAGGTTCCCAAGTCTTCGTTTACGTTACATTTTTTTCTGGCCGGCCGGCCAATGCTCCTTCCATGGCAGGCAGCGATGGGGTGCCCATGGAGTGCAGTAACGCAGAATGGCATCATAAGGCAGAACTAGAGAGTTTTGTCTCTATTCTCTGGGCCAGCAATCCAGGCGAAGAACAAGGGAAACTACAAGCAAGCACCAGAACCCTAAATTATACTTTTATTAAGCCACCCACAGGCATTTGTAAAGCACCTAGGAGCTCCGGGCACTGTGTTATTAAGACGCAAAGGAGGCATCACCATCTTTGGCCATCAAAGCATCCATGTTCCACCAGCCAGTGGGTAATGAATCATTGCAAGAGCTCCATCCCTTCTACCCCGGGGGTCTTCTCCTCCTAGACTTGACAGTGCAGGCCTCCATTTTCAAAATCAGAATGTATAAAAAACCCGTTTAGCTGGAAGATATCCTGTGTGAAAGAATGTGCAGTAAATAGCAAACATTTCCAATAGCACAGCCAGTATTTTCCTATTTCCTGGACAATTTACTAAAAATCTTCCACCCCTGCTTTCATAGGTTGAGGGCATCTGCTGTGCCAAACTGCCCGCTGGTGACAGAGAGAAACCAACACATTCTGCAGTGCCCAGGGATAAAACTGAAAAGAGAGAGAGAAGTGTCCCTGACAGAAGTAGACTCTGAACTTCTCTTGAGTCACCTGTTACCGAGAGACTTTAAATGCTGCATGATCAGAGATCTTTCGCCAGCTTATACCACGCCAGTCATAATCCCCAAAATATCAAGAACCCCCAAGTCCTTGAGTGACTGCTTCATGCAAACATGGAAATAATGCAACAGAACCACTGTTTCTTTGATTCCTCCAGACGGAAAAGGTAGTGCCTTTAATATCATGCTTACTGGACATCCATCATCCAACACACAATGCGACCATTGTAGGGCAGAGAGAGAGAATATACTCTGTGGGGTAGAGGCGTGCGGCGGGAAAAAACCCAAAAACACGAGAGCCTCGACGCACTGAAGAAACGGTCTTCTGCTTCTCATTGGAATAATGGTGGGATGTGTACAAGAATGTTTCTGGCTGGCCTTAAAAGAAAGAAACTCTTTCAGAGAGCAGCGACCTTAAACATCTTATCAGCCTTTGAAGTTATGCACAATGACATCCTTTGGTTCCTTGCCCAGGGCAGAGGTTTAAGCTTTAAGACTCCATTTACTTACAAAGAACTGTAGAAATATTTTTGCTGTGGCACAAGGCAAAAGAGCCAGTTTTTGAAGACAGCAAATGATAGAATGGTGAGGTAGAGGGGAAAACACCCTTTATAGGGGGCACCGCACTGTGTTAAGGGGATCAAGAGCTATAGATCTAACTTTCTGGGGTTAACCTCCTTTATTTTCAATCTTCTGTACCATTCAGATCAGTTTTGTGAAACTCATGTCAAAGTGATAGAAGCAGAGTAGGTTCTGATGCTGCCACCCGCCTTCTAACTCATCCCTGGTCCAACGTGCCCTACCAATGCCTGTGCTTCCTACCAACACCACTATATCTCTGTAACCCATCTCCCCTCAACACAAAAGAAAGGGTACCCCCTGCTCCCTCCAATGCTACCTCTTGAGTAGGAGTCCAAGGTGGGATAACGTCCCCCACAGGGTGGTGAGGGGGAGCCTTGTGCCCATTGCTGCCTCCACACAATTTTCTAGGGCATCTAGACTTGGGTTTCTTCCTTATGGTGGGTCCCGTCTGTCTGGTCAACCACTGCATCCCTGCACGCTGTGTGCCCAGCCACCACAGTGTTGAGTATATAGTAAGTACTCAAGACGCGCTTGTAGAAGAAAGGCCCAGTGGCCTCCACCCCAACATGTTCTCCTTCCTTTCTGCCAGATATCTTCTGTCTTGGGGTACACTCTATTTTAGGGTCTCCCTGATGATTCAATCTTGGGCACAAGAACGTTCACTTGCCAGAGCTGTTTGATTTATTTGCTTTTGCTTTCATCTCAGGCCATGGCAAAAGTTCTTTTGCAAGACCCCAAAAAACTGGGAATCCAGAGATTCTGGGAATCTCCTAATAGTCACCTAAGAAAAGGTAATAATGCTGTATGCCATCATTTTCATGATTTGATAAGCTACGTAAAACTCATTACTGAATTGGAGCCAAACACTTGAAGGAAAACAGAAGGAAATCTGTTGCCTTGAGATTTATCTTTCTTCTTCAAAGAACTCGGAGTTGCTTCTATAGTACACGATGTTAGGATAGGCCTTGGGCCAATCATTGTAAAGAGCATCTGAAAAATTACTCAGAATTGTGTGCTCAGTTGTTTTGCAAAGGATATAGCTATTTGTTTGCTTAAGTGAGGCTGTAAGGATTGCTGGAAACGTTCTGTGAAAATATTAGCTAAACTCAAGTCCCTATCAGCAAATACACGCATGCAGTTCACACATGTGTCACACCACACGTATGATCTCTGACTTACGGGTATGAATAATGTATAAACAAGCTGAACCCCATTCCAACAAGCAAGTGACTTTAGTTCACAATGGAAATGTAAACATGACCCTTAGCTGAAGATAGCCTTTAACTCCAAATTGTCCATATACACAATAAAACAAGCTCTTTACTGGGCCTGGAGGGCGTCTCCACGTGGGCTGTGGTGAATTCTCCTAATTGAAAGCCGTGATAAGTCAACATGAAGGGGCTCTTTCGAATGCCCCATTTGACACGTGTTCATGGAGGGCCTCTTCATTTGAAAATCTTCAAGAGACCCCACCTGGTCCACGGGGCTCCATTTGGTCTTCATAGCAAAGAGAACACACAGTTCTCCATAATTACACAAAGGGGACAATTTGGTAAAGAAGAACTAACTCTATGAAGTAGTGCTTGTGAGTTAATCAAGTCAAAAGACAAGCCCAATTAAAAGAGCCTTTTGCTTAAATAATATATAAAAATAAAGAAAGCAAAACTCAGGAGGTACAGTCCCCAGATACACAACTTGTAATTTCTAATAAAGCAGGAAGGCAGAACTTGAGTCACTTAACAAAATGCTCAATACCCAATTAGGATCCACAGTCCCTGAACAGCTATCTGATTACCCCAGAGATTAATTCCCTGGGCGGCAGGCCCCAAGGGTCCTTTCTAGCCAGCTCCATCACTCATTGGGAAGTCAGGGAAGATGAATATCTAGGTTAGGTTTGATGCTCACAACTTTTCAAGGGTTACTCAGATCTCAGAAATAAAGATTGGCAGATCAAGGAGAGAGCACAGACACGATCATTTGGTTCATTAGAATCGTGAAACTAAAATCTCCTTTTGCAGTTGTAAAGAGCCAGCTCAAGTTAGTTTTCCAAATAGTGAAAGGAAAATACTCTAACAAACAAAGAGGCATATGAAAGTCAAGCATGGTGAAGGGCAGGAAAAAAAAAAAAAAAAAACCCTGAGTAATTCCTCTTAAGTGCCTTTCTTCCTTTCATTTTATTTTACTTTATTTTAGCAAGAAGAAAGTAGGAGAGTTGGGACTTTGTCCGTATTTTTTTGTTGTTCACTTTGATTTTTTTGTTGTTTTGTTTTGTTTCGATTTTTAAAATTTGTTGGTAATAGCTACATATAGACAAAATTCAAAAGGTTCAAAAGGATATGCAGTGAAAAGTAATCTTATCACCCCCCTGTCACCAGCCACCCAATTCTACTCCTGGGCAGGGCAGTAAACAAACAAAAACCAGCAATTACCACCAAAGTGTGTGTGTGTGTGTGTGTGTGTGTGTGTGTGTGTGTGTTTGGGGGGGTAGGGTGGGTGGCAGTAGACAAAGAAAATAAAGAAAAAAACCCTAAAACAATGATCTAAATCTGGTGTATCCTTTCAGATATAATCTATGCAAATATTAGCATTTCTTTTCTTTGTGAAAAGACAAAAGCAATGTTTTTTATAAACTGTTCTGTACTTTGCATTTTTCTCTCAACAGAGCTTCAAGGTCAATCCCTATCAGTAAATACAGAGATGCCTAATTTTATATAAGTGCAAGTACATCTGTAGGATAAATTTCAAGAAATGGAATTGCTTGCCCCAAATATATGCATTTTCTATTTCAATTAATGTTACCAATGTGCTTTCTCTAGAGACTGTATCAATTTATACTCCCCTCAGCAACGTGAGTGTCTGCTTCTCCTCACCTTGGCTAATACATGGCACCAACCATGACAGGTAAACATGACCTCTTAAAGTTCTAGTTTATATTTCTCTTATTAGCAGGAGGGCAAGTATCTTTTCATATATTTAAGAGCCATTTACTTCCTATCCTGTCAACTGCATGTTCCTATCTTAGGTGACTTTCTACCACCTTCTTTCTCTTCAGTAAAGGCAGTGTCTCTAGCAAATGATATCCAAGCTGGTCTTTTTTTTTTTAATTTTTTTTTCTTGGCCACGCTGCGTGGCGTGTGGGATCTTAGTTTCCCAACCAGGGGTCGAACCCCCACACCCTGCATCGTTAGCATGGAGTCTTAACCACTGTTGCCTCCAGGGACGTCCCCTCCAAACTGGTCTTTTGTATAGTTCTTCAAGCCCGTGCATATATCATCTAATTTAATAATTGCAATAAGACAGTAAGCAGGCATAAAAATATTTTCTCCATTGTATAGGTAAGGAAGCCAAGTTTTGTTTGTAGGTTTGACCAACAAGCTCACTGGAAGTTTGTAGCCAGAACTAGAATTCATGTAGCTTACCTTTTAGTCTAACGATTTGTGCGTGCGTGCGTGCATTCCGGTGTGGGTTTACTACATTAAAATGCCTCTTAGATTGTAGAAAGGATGAGAAAGGAAATATTCCCTTTTTCTCTAATGATGAATTTGTATTTTCTATTTACCTGGCCAGTTTTCATTGTATAGCAAATAAAGGAAACTAAAACTTTATTTGCTCTCATTCTGTTGCTCAGGCCAAAGCATGGACAAGCATTGAGTCTTCATGTATTGCACATCACCAAGCTATCAACCTTTTATTACCAACCTGGATGGACCGAGTACTGGGTGGAGGGGAGATAGAACAGTACTGACATACATCCTCCCCAGGAAGAGGGGGACCCTCGAGAGGCCTTCCCATGTTGAGTGTCCTGGGGGAGAGCATGAATACACGAACTCCTATGAGGGGGCAGAAGAAGTCCCCAGGACAAAGGAGAAGAAGGTCATAAGCCATAGGGGTCTGTCAACTTGGTGCTATTGACAGGAACGCTTCTGGGTTCAACCTAGGATATTGATTCCCAAGTATTCTCCAGCCCGTCCCGGGGAAGCTGGTCTCTAGTCTACCAGGAAGAGGCTGTGGGGTGGCAAGTACCCAGCTAATTTGGGAAAAGGGACAGGAAGGCTCTAAAAAAGCTGCAAGACCTTCTTCTGCCCCATCTTGGAATGGGGGGCAGTGGGGCAAGGGATCAAAAGCTGTGAGTGATGGGGACAAAAGCATAATGAGGAAAAATACAATCAGAGCTGCCACCAGACCCTACAGGGCAGAAAAGGGCTCACTGGGCCCAGCAGTAGTTCAGGTGCTAAGCTGGGGGAAACACCAGCAGTAAACTGCACTAGGTGGGACTTAGATGCAAAACCCTGAGATTGTCACCCAAGCTCTCGACTGTCTTCAAAGCCGGTGTGGCCAGAACATATGATGAGCGATATTTCATAAATCTGAGCCTTTAGTGAAAGGTGCCAATTTCACCCTTAAGTTTAGTTACTGCTTCATTCATTCATTCCCTTCAAAGGCAGTCCTTTCCATAAAACTCTCCTCCTAATTTCCACTCGAATCCTGGCAGAGTAAGCATGTCAGGACTGTGCAGAAATTCCATGGCAGTTTGCTGGAGCTCCTGTCCCACACATAAGGTGGGTGATACGTGCAACGCAGCTGAACACGTGAAAGGGACCATTCCAAGAGAATCTAACTCGTTCTCAGTGGCGCCCCTACTGGCTTCAGCCAGCCAGCCCCACGAGCTGGCTGAGGTCCCACCCTACAGTGGGACTTTGCCTGGTTAGCTGGTTAGACCAGGACTCCTGGCAGGTCTTCAGCAGTAGACCTGCTCGCTGAGGTGGGACAGGTGCCAAAGGCAAAGATTCCACTGCAAGCATGAAGGAGGTCTTTGACATCACACAAAATGTGATCTCATGTTATGCAGAAGTTAGGTACTAAAGCCAAAACATAAGGCAAAAAAGCAAGTGTAGACAAAATACTTTAAAATTTAAAAATTAATATAGAGTGTGGCTCCCCTGGTGGTCCAGTGGTTAAGACTCTGCGCTTTCCCTGCAGGGAGCACGGGTTCGATCCCTGGTCAGGGAACTAAGATCCCACATGCTGTGCAGCACAGCCAAAAAAAAATTAAGATACAGGAACCTTATGGATGTGAAACAGGAGGGAAGGGGCAGGGCACAACCTTTAAAAGAATGACATAGCCGTTGAGGACATGACAGAAACTGGTTAGAACTTACTAGGTCCAAGATGGCGGAAGACTCGACTTCCAGTGGACCTTGAGCCTCATTACACACACATTGTAATACATCAGCATCTAAATGACACCTACAGGTGCCACGACAGTTCTGAGGCTAATTTCCAATTCCTGGAAATCCCCAAAGCAGTTGGAATATTCCTCCCCCTCATTAGCCTATGAAATTACCCAGCCCATAAAAACTAACCACCCCATATTTTGGGTCCTCTCACCTTCTGAGATGGCCCATACTCTGTGGAGTGTGTTCCTCCCAAAGCCGTTCTTGTCTTTTGAGATGGATGGCATTCTGTCTCTGGAATGTGAATCCCTCTAAATAAATCCACTTCTTACCTAATACTTTTGTCTCTCACTGAATTCTTTCTGTAACGAGACATCGAAAAACTGAGCTTCATTAAGTCCTGAGACCAGGTGTGTGATTGCAGTTAAAAGACAGTGGGCTCAAGTCCCAACCTGAGTTGTGTGGTTAGATGTAAAAATTAACAATGTGTAGTTATTGATGGGACAACGAAGATGGATATTAAAGACTTGCTTGTACTTCTCCAGACAATCTCTCTCTCTCTCTCTCTCTCTCTCTCTGTCTGTCTGTCTCTCTCTCTCTCTCTCTTTATCATCTATCTTGTCCAGGAGCATATCTTGTCCATGAAGTATCTCCACTGTATACAAAGGGTAGGGGGCAAAGAACAAGTGAATTAGTACAGGAAAGAGGCAGTATGAAGTCAGAAACAGGGTGACTGAACCAGGAAAGGAGCAGTGCAAAACTACAAAGCTGATAGGCAGACGGTGGGTAGAGGTGAGCAGAACCCCCATCTGCTGGGCTGGTACTGAGAGGCAGGCTCTACTGCATGGACAGGGCAGGGTTGAGCACAGGCCTTTCAGTACCTGGGGTTCTCAGCCAGGTAAACAAGGCAGGAGGTTTGGGCACAGAAACAGGGTAGGGAACCGTTTGCGGAACCTATAAAAAGAACCAAGACCCAAGGTCAAGGTTGGACTAGGCAACAAGGATTCTGGAATGGAGTTCCTTAAACCCTGCCTCAGATCAAGATTTGTCCTAGGATTTGGGCAAGCCCATCCCTCAGGGGAGGCTGAGCCAGCTTTGGCCGTGCAGTGAGGAGAGATGCCTAGGTCTGGAGCCCAGGGGTCCGGCACATCCAGCCACATCAGGGGTGAGGGAGGAAGCAGGCCAGGCGGACCATCATGGAGGCTCCAGCAGGCCCTGGGGAGCCAGCTGGAAAGCAGGGGTGACAACAGGGCAAGATGGGTACAAGTTAGTTTTCACTACCTGGCTGAGATGCTCAATGCATTCCTGCAAACCTATTCACATCTGAGCAGGCTTAGGCCT